TGAAAAACACTTTTACGCAGCGCGTATTTCCAAGGCGCCGCACTTGCGTCATGACAGTTCCCTCGTTTGCAGGCTTGATGAGGGTAGACAAGTCAGCATTAGGAATGGCAGTGTCGATGTCATAAATTACACCGGCAATTGATTTGTCATCCGTCGGGATAAAGAAACGCATTTTAATGCCACCTAGCTCAGTCATTTGCTGCAGCTGTCCTAGCGCACTCACATCGTGCACGTCTATGGCGAGAACGTTCTTCCTTGGGTTTACTCGTACGTCCTTAATTTGATATGGCACCGCACATTAGAGAGCAACCGAAAGGGCTTGCCTGTTCAGGAGCCGTAGGTTGCTTGATGGATCTTCGGGCATGAAGATGATGACGTGCGGCCAGCGCGCAGGCCTTGAATGCACAGTCGCTGTGCTTGCAGGAGCTGATGCTGCTGTATTCGCCGTCCTTCTTTTTGCCCTCTTTTCCCGGACAGGTATAAAGCTGCCATCAGATGTGTCGTCTTCCGACATAGAATAGAGATCGGTGTCCTCAGTGTCACTGGGAGAGCCAGCTCGCTTCCTTGTGGTTGACGGGTGTGAGGACCTGTGACCAGGCGGGCCTCTGGCATGCTCCATGTCCATCACCGCAAGACGGAGAGGCGAGGCACCTCAAAAGACCGATGATTTCACTAAAGCGAAACAGAGCGCTGAAACAAGCGTTCTTCTAAAGAGACACTTCTTCTTCCTCCTCAAAAAAAAAAGAATGAAAAGTAGACGAAAAGATAACAAGCCACTGGCAGTGCCAGCTCCAGTTCAGTCAGCTGCCAGCTAATTAAGCTATCACGTACTAGGTGACGCCAAGAGGCAAGAAAAGTGTTCCATCCTCGCCGTAATGGCAACAGGCAGCACCGACTGACTCTCCCACGTTCAAATGCAGATATAAATCCTATCAAGTAGATGGAGGATGAAAGTCACCGTAACTAAGTGGTACAGCATCGTACGCGTTATTCCAAGGTCGCCAGTTTGGTTTCTGTCAGTCTCAATTTATCTTTTCGTGCAACTTTTTTTTGTCCGCAGTTCTATAACAATGCTTTTATTAACACCACTATACTGTCCTTCGCATCAATGTCTCCAAGTTTTCTTTAATGGCGTTTCTACACTAAAGCCACTTTCTTATTTAACCAGCGAAACATTCTCAGGCCATCGTTTATCCGTGAGTCACTAACAGAAAATTATGATCATCATAAATCACCACCGGATATCTTTGCCCTATCTTTCATTGCTGTCATGAGCTATATCTCCAACTTCACTCACAGAACTCACTGGTTTTTGTGGAGTGGGATGCACTAATTCTGCTCGGTGAGTCAAGAAAGACAACGAGAGATTGATTGATTGATATGTGGGGTTTAACGTCCCAAAACCACCATATGATTATGAGAAACGCCGTAGTGGAGGGCTCCGGAAATTTCGACCACCTGGGGTTCTTTAACGTGCACCCAAATCTAAGCACACGGGCCTACAACATTTCCGCCTCCATCGGAAATGCAGCTGCCGCAGCCGGGATTCGAACCCGCGACCTGCGGGTCAGCAGCCGAGTACCTTAGCCACTAGACCGCCGCGGCGGGGCAAGACAACGAGAGAGAAAAAAAAACGGAAAACAACATATATATATAAGAAAAGGTAGTATAGTCACAGGTGCCAAAACATCTTCTCATTGCGCAATGTGGATTTACAGTACCCAGGATCCGTAGGCGAGAGCGCTAACCACATGATTATCAATACATGTTGTCACAGTCCAGCATAGCCTTGCATACGGTAGTACCTCAAGAGATAGGACAGAAGAAATGAGGGTGAGAAGAACAGGCGTCACGGCAAATTGAAGGAAAAAAGGAGGGTAGAAAAAACATGACATAGGATAAAATAAAACAATACATAAAACGGTAGGTAAAAAACGCAGAAAGAAAGAGAGACAGAACAAAAAAGGGACAGACAGATATATAAATATATATATATATATATATATATATATATATATATATATATATATATATATATATATATATATATATATATATGCCCACGGCTGGTTTTTTCCACCCACTTTTCTTTCTTCTTATTTACATTCCATTGGTTCTAATAAATTCCCCTATACATTTCTTGGCATTACTGTCTGTTAAATCTCAATAATATTGTGTCAAAACACGGAAAAACGAGCCCTTAGGTATATACTTCTTTCCCTTATTCATTAACGAAGGTCTCGTACTGGCAGACTTGGTGTCACTAGGTTGTATACGAGGGCCTATTGATCAGCTGCCCGCTCGTAATAAGTTCACGTGCTACGTGACGCCACACATGCGCATAAAAGAGATTTTCACACTCGTCGCTTGGCTTATAGATGGCGCTGATTGACACTCCTACTTCTAAATTCACATATAAACCCAAAAAAGTGGATGGAGGGATGGCCGCTGTGATAGCTCAGTGGTTAGAGCATCGAACACGTTATTCGAAGGTCGTAGGTTTGTTTCCTACTCACGGCTGGTAATTTTTTCACCCACTTTCCTTTCTTCTTATTTACATTCCACTGGTTCTAGTAACTTCCCCTGTACATTCCTTGGCATTACCGTCTGTTAGATCTCATTATATTGTGTCAAAACACGGAAAAACGAGCACTTAGGTATACACTTATTTGCCTTAAATATATATATATATATATATATATATATATATATATATATATATATATATATATATATATATATGAGAGAGAGAGAGAGAGAGGAGAAAGGAATGTATATGCCAAGCAGAAAGATAAAATGGCGAAGGAAGAGAGAGGAATAAACAGATGGAAGAGGGAGATGAAATGATATAAAACAAGAAAACAAGTAGCGATATCAGCCAGAAAATAAATGGCCCCGAATCTGCATGTTACACTGCAATGTGGTCGAAGGACGATAGTCTTACGTCTGGAGAGAGAGAACAAAACGTTTTTGTTTTGGGGGCGAAACTCCTTATAGCGGCACCCCTTCGTCCCTCGTAGTATGTAACAAGAATAACATTTTGACCTCCAAGGTGGTGCCGGTGAGAGACTTCTTCTGTGCGTTGTTGAAAAATAAAAAATAGTGCTCAATGTTTATGTCAATGTCTGCTAATGAGAAATGAGAGACAGGAGCATTCGGCTTTTAGTTAACGCGCAGGCTGCGATCACCATTAGCAGCTTTTAGCATGTACATTAAGCACTATCTGACAAGAAAGAGTTGCTACGTTATACTCGCTGGGTGTAACCTCCTTAGCTTTAGAAAGGTTTAGCGAGCGTTGAGCCGCAGTGCCATGAATACAATGAACTTGTATATACCATGAATGAACTCGAGCTGGTTAAAAATGGGAAGTAGATACGAAGCGCAAGCCGTAAGAAATGAAAGGCGAATTCGCCGCTTCTAATTTCCCATTAGCAGCCATTGGCATGTGCATTGAGCACTATCTGACTGAAAAAGTTTGCTACGTCATACTCGCTGGGCGTAACCTCCTTGGTTTTCGAAAGGTTTAGCGAGCGTTCGGCCACAGTGCAATGAATACAGTGAACTAGTACATACCATGAACTCGAGGTGGTTAAAGGTGGGAAGTGGGCCCGAAGCGCAAGCCGTAAGAAAGTGTGCATGTGCCACCTCTCGTTTAGTCCTTGGAATGTCCGCTGGATGGCGGTGCTTCTTTATGAAGAATATATGATGAAAAGATGCGAGATGGTTGTACTTGGAGTGTTGAATAGATGGACGAACGGACACATAGACAGATGCATGGATGGACGCATGAACGGACGCAGGGGCGGCTGCATGGACGAACGCTGGAACGGACGCACGAACAGACGCACGCACGGACGGGCTGATGGACACGTGGACGGTCACACTGACGGACGCAAGGATGGACGGAAGCAAGAACGAATGGACGGACGAATTCTTCGCCCCACTCTCCATCATTCACTCTGTGGATATGCTGCCATTTTTTTGTTTTTTTATGTTCTGTGCAAGACAATCGGTGAATGGTATTCAGGAGGCGCTGCGTTAGAGTGCTTCAAGCAGGTACCGGAGGCAAACGAGCGCATCGAGGCACGATATACACAAGCGCCATCTGGCAGTTATCTTCGAAAACGAAGGCGTGGGCGCCCGCGAAGAAAGACGCGCGCCTGTCTAGAACGGAATAAAATGTAGAACGCAAAGCGACGCGCAGGTGCAACCACCATGTCGTCGTAGCAAAGCGTTGGAAACACTTACCTTTTTGAGCATAGCGTTGCACTGTCAGTGCAGCGCGATTAACGCTACAGTCGTTAGGGTTACCTGTGTGTGCCTTTACAAGTATAAAGGCAGACATAAAAATCATCAACGTGCTGTTACGGCGCCTCATATATGCGCAATAAATGATTTTTACTTGACAATATACGAGGCGCCGTACCTATTCATGTTTTACTTGTGCCTCTTGTTTACCATGAAATATTTTTTGTGGTTGTGTTTGTGTGAACCATCGAATGTACATGTTCTTTCAACGTCATCTCATATCCATATTCATGTGAATGACATCAGTTTTGTCATCATTGTTAGAGTATGTCTAAAGAGGAAATGTTCTGTTGAGTGTTATTGACGTTTGTGGCAATAAATGTTTCCTAAACGGTCATACCTAGGCGCACATCAACTGTGCTGCCTTTTAAGCAATGCACCTAGCATTGATATGGTGCTGACATTTTTGTTATTTTCACTGGTACCAGTGCCCACGCGATCATTTGTCATAAAGAAATAGAATAATGAAACTGACAAATAATAACCATTCATACCCTGTAGGTGCATATATCGGAGACCGCACCTTGTCCTAATCGCCACAAGAGCATTACTGTTTCTTGCTAAGCACTATCCAAGTGCTGAAAGTAAATATACTCAATACCAGCCATGTGTGCAACCTCCTCAAGGGTGCAGCTGCACTAATAATACGCAAGACTAAAGAGAGACTGACATGGCAATTTTCTCTCCCTCAGTCTCTTCCCAGAACGTACCAGAGAAGTACGAAACGTTGGACATCATCGTCGACAAAGAAGCACAGCGCGTCGGCCTAGAAGCTGTTCAAGTGGGTGAAGTTCTGCATGCCATTGCGCATGGTCTTCGCACACGTGCGCAGCACCAGGAAGGTGCAGAAAACCAGGTTAGTTGTTCGCATTTTTTTAATACACTTGCTCGTAATTATTGTACGTGCCCACCACAGCATAGGTTTCGCACCATGTATACTGCTTCACATCCTATGCTAAAATGAGAATGAGAGCACACGGCTGGAAAGTAAGGTTTGAAATGTGCTTTTACTTTTACAACTAGTTGTACGAAGGGGCATTCAAAGTTTTGACACCGATACGCATGTCTCTTGGAAGTGCAAACATGGTTAAGCTTCCGATGCGATAAGCCACAGAACATAAAAAAATTGTAAGAACTTTTCTCTGCCAGTGGAATGTGCATAGATGACGTAAAGGATGCATTGAAAAAAACTCTAAAGCCAGTGCTTTCTTTCTATAGATTTTTTACTCGTTGCTAATAAAGGTCTTATTGTTATTGCAGAGCCAACACTACTTTCTTGACAAGATATTGAAAGCCGTTGGTGAACTTGTCAAAGGGGCTGGGAACGCAGTAAAGGGAGTTGCTGAAGGTGTTGGCAACGCTGTCGGCGCAATCACCTTTAGCCGCGCCAGCGGGGTGGTCACCACAGAAGCTGCTGATATACTTCGCAAAATTGTTAGTAAAGACCTAAGCTTGTATGCGACTGAGGACGGCAAGGTACACAAGGACTTTCGCCAACAGATTGCCAATGATTTGAGTCGTGTGGCTGAGTCATTAATCCACAAAGGACAAGTGCTCTGTGCTGGCCGTGGCCGCACGCACCTGAACAAAAACGAAGCGAAGTTTGTCCAAATGGTTGTAGAGCTTTTCTGAAATAAAAACTGCAACGTATGTGAGCCTATTGTTTCGCTCCGCTGCACTTGCATCTAAGAAAAAAGGGTAATAAATGGCATTTGTTGCGAATAATCACACATGAACATAGTGCAAAGAGTTCATATTGCGTCAATGAATTACAGAAAATGATAATAAATGTGGAGCATATCTTAGCGAACTGCGGCCACTTTGAGCGTATCTATCTATCTATCTATCTATCTATCTATCTATCTATCTATCTATCTATCTATCTATCTATCTATCTATCTATCTATCTATCTATCTATCTATCTATCTATCTATCTATCTAGCCACCTACGACATTTAGCTCACCTGGCCGTTTCGATAAGGGTGTCAATACAAAACTTGTACGGCATAACATGACTGTATGAAGAAGATATTTGCGTGTCATAACATAACATGAAAATCATGACATATGTCATGAATGCCATGACTTACAATTCATGGTCCTGCAGTTCTTGCGGTGGTTTCTTTCACATGGTATGTTGCAAAACTGGTATGGTATGAGATGATTGCATGCTAAACAGGAGCGACCAACCCTAACATGAAAATCATGACATGCGTCTCATGTAACAACATGACTACATGCCACGCTAATCATGCGCTGGCAGGCGTTTCACGAGCTTCACTTAGGCTGAATTTTGTATTACGGGACGTGAATAAATGGCGAAGATATGATAGTGTTACAAACATTATAAACATGAGATACGGGTCATGTAACAACATGACTACATGTCACACTGATAATGCGCTCGTGGCCGTTTTGCTATTCTCACATATGGCAAATTTGGTATTACGTGACGTCGATGGATGACGAAGGTACGGGACTGTTCCAAACATAAAAATAATGAGATGTATTTCATGTGAGAACATGACTACACGCCACAGTCAAGGTGCCAATACATGTCGACTTGACGCAAATCGCGTGCTCGCTGGCGCTCATTTCGTCGCGTCACGCCGGTGTTGCCACACCTGGCGGTGGTCCTACCATATACTCGCAGGAGCGCGCCGCGCTGCTTTCGCGCATGCACGTTTCAGCGCGTACGGCATGTCTCCTTAATGAAAGATTGAGACGCAGTGTTGTCTGGATAACACATCGAAGTGAAATGCAGCATGTCTCATTTCGCGCCGGTTGCTTTCGGGTCGCGCCGACGGACGCTGGTCGCGCCTGGCGTCAGAATATAAAGTGCTCGCGTTTTGCTAACGTAGCGTCGCTGTGCCCAGCGTGCGTGCACGTCAACGCTACATCGAAGTATATTGGGTCCTTCATGATGCGCTCGCGGCCGCTTTGCTAGCTCCACATATACCAAATCAGCTGCTACGTAACGTGAATAGATGACAAAATATATGACTGGGTGAAACATGGCAAACATGGCGAGCAGTCTATGAGCATGGTATGTGTCATGTAAGAACATGACAACATACCATGCTCATAGACTGCTCGCGGCCATTTCGGTAGCTCCACATATACTAAATTTGGTATCCCGTGACGTGAATAGATGACGAAGCTAAGTGTCACATTCAAACATGATAATCATGAGAGGCTGGTCATGTACGGCATCATTTACCTTCACCTCAAAACGTTGTGCTGATTTTAAAGTGACATATCAACATTTCTGATTCGTGCTTCGCATATCATTGAATCCCATTGTACGTGGGATCAGCCAATTTTTTATTAGTTCCTGTTGGGACTGTCAACAGTCAGCTAAGCTACCATCTAGCAAATTATCGGTTTGAATAAAACTTGCTTGGTGTATTCCATTGTGTTCTGTCACATGATGGAACAACATTCTGCAACGCATTGGTTCAAATAAAAATATACGGCACTCAAGGGGGTAAACGTAGACAATATGTGATAGCGCAGGCGTAAGACGGAGAACTGGTTTGTTGAACAAGAAGACCAGAACTTCCCCCCAGCACGTTCGCTCACGTTCTGGCATTCCCAATAGTGACGCATGCTTTGGGATGATCAGTTTCTGGGCATTTCCCGAGTTCCGCTTGGGGGGGGGGGGGGCTTCAACATTAATCGCAATCTTCTAGGTTGCAGAGTTCTTGCATCGGGCGATCCAGCGCTCAACCATTTGCGAGAGCCGCTGAGCAGGTGTTCCCTATGTCATCTTTTTTGGGCAGTAGAGTGATTACTTGGCCCGACTCACAGCACACTATGTGTGTGATGTCCTGTCACATTAGTACCACATCACTTATTGGTTGATGACCGTTATTAGTTGTTTTACGCTGACTGCAGTAGCAGAAGCTACGCTCTTTTCCGTCATCTTTAAAGTTGGTCTACTATCTTCTGGTGATGACGAGCCTTGCGGTTCAAGTCAACCGCAGTCGAGAGATCCGAGGCGCAAATCTGTTGTTGAAAGTAAAGGCTGCACTTTCCTCATGCAGTGTGATGGAGTCACTGGCTGAAGCGCGTTGGGCGCGTTCTCAAAACACGTTGGGGCTCCTCGATTATTCACAGATTCGATTTTGCACAGCACAGTTGTAGGGCTTCAGCGTCGATCCGGCGGCCTGCCAGTGGCTGTTTGAAAAAGTGTTTTGTAAGCCAATAAGGAACTCTCACCATTTGCCCAGACACGAAGCTTTTTCTACGAGGAAATTGTAATGAATCCGTAGCTCAGCCGCATACTCCGGAGGCCTCTTAGGGCAAATGCAAATGTTACAGCACAGCTACAGATAGTTTGAGCATTTTCAAACTATGCTGTCGCAGTAACTTCAAGTCATGCGAGAAACAGCTGAAGACGAGTAATGTTGGTCCTTCGGTCTCATCTAAACTCAACTCCACATGAATGGCGCTTGTGATGGGACAAGAAAAGAGAAGGACTTAGGATATTGTTGGACAAATTGTTGTACGCCACAGTAGTAAGTCTCGCCAAAGATTAAATGCCTTATCTTGCTGATTGTTCCTTGTGGGAGAGGCATAATCGCTGCAGGTAGTACTGCTGCTTTCTATCGTGAAAATATTCTGCACCTCGAAACTGTCTACTGTACGGTCTTACATCCCGACAATGAAAAATTCTCTACAAGATCCATAAATGTGCTGACACCTACACGAATAGTGTGCACGCGTGTCATTTTTACAAGAATGCCCATCAGGTAATACTTGTCTGTTAGAAGAACGGGATGGTCGAAGTCGTGATCGGTGTCAAGGTAGTGCAGTGGTCCACTGACACGACGTAAGCCGTCCTTGTCTACAAAAAAGATGAATGCGAATAACACGAGGTGTCGAGGGCTACAACTGAACTTTAGATTGCGCAACAACTTCACTTAGAAATGAGTGTTCTTGGAATACTCGTGGACCATCGCTTTTCGGTTGAATTTTGTTCGTGTACCTAACGTCGTCTTCATACTCATCTTAGCTTCAGACCCTTCTCCACACAGTGATTCAATAATTCAACTTTGCCACGTGTCATCATACTTTGCAATAGCTTCCTGGCGAAATTGTTTCACTAAGATACGCTGCGGAATTTTGTGATCATTAGCTAGTATATACGTGCCCTTGAATTTGCCGAAGATGTTTGTTCTTTCACTCTGTATTGTACTGCATTCTGCTTTAGCGTTTGTTCTTTTCCCTTCCATTGTACTATTTTCTTGGTTTCTTTTTCAATGTAGATTATTTTATTATATATGTTGGGATTTTTATTTACCCCTCCACCCTGTCGATGTCTTTGGGGCTTGTAGGCTACACTGCATAAGTAAATAAAAAATGGCAGCATATCCACGGGGTGAATATTGGAGAGTGGGGTGAAGCATCCGTCCTTTCATTCGTTGTTGCTTCCGTCCGTCCATGCGTCTATCCGCCCGGCCGTGCGTGCGTCTGTTCGTGCGTCCACACGTCCATCCGTGCATCCGTCCATGCGTTCGTCCCGGCATCCACTCCTGCGTCCCTCCATGCGTCAATCCGTCCGTGCAGCCATCCGTGCGTCAGTCCATGCATCTGTCGGTGTGTCCGTTCATCCACATATTCAACACTTCAAAGTACCACCATCTTGCATCTTTTCGTCATATATTCCTCAAGTAGAAGCATCGCAGTCCAGCGGACATTTCAAGGACTGAAAGAGAGGAGGCACACGCACACTTTCTCTTTATCTCGAGTCTCTGTTCCGCGGCGCCGGCGTCAGCATCCGTAATCGCACTCAGACTACGCATGCGGAACTTCTTTCCTCTCCTACACTCCCCGCTTTCAACTCACAACGCCAACGTGGTGAGCGTCTGCTAACTAACGCTTGCTTCAACATCCCTTCTAAACCTTCCTCCTTGTGGGTTCACCACCATTGCGCATGCACGTCCCCTCCCTGCCCTCTCGCCTCGCAACACCAAGGCAGGCAGCGTCTGGTAGCAAGTTTCTTGATTGAAAATAATTGCTTTTGAATTGACAATCACACAAGTAGACTGCTGAATCTTGAGTAATATTGGTGGGTGGAGCAGATTGGGTAGACCGTTCGGTGTATCGTTTAAACACATTGGTGCCGTTTAGGATGCCATTAATGCCAGACAAACAGACAAATGTACGGACAGACAGACAGACAGACAGACATACATACATACAGACAGACAGGCCAAATTTTTTGCGTCGAAGGTCGCCAAGAAAGACGATCGTCTTTAAAAACCGACTGCTCAAGCTGCATGTCCGTTCACTGGCCACACCGTGTATATAGGCACTTGATCTTTACATCCAAGTTAGGGACGGTGGGAGATTTATCCTCTGCGTTATTTACCAATGCAAATAAAATGGCAGCATATCCACGGAGTGAATGATGGAGAGTGGGGCGAAGAATTCGTCCGTCCATTCGTTCTTGCTTCCGTCCGTCCATGCGTCCGTCAGTGTGACCGTCCATGCGTCCATCAGCATGTCCGTGCGTGCGTTCCTGCGTTCGTCCATGCAGCCGCCCCTGCGTCCGTTCATGCGTCCATCCATTCATCTGTCCATGTGTCCATTCGTCCATCTATTCAACACTCCAAGTACCACCATCTCGCATCTTTTCATCATATATTCCCCATATAGAAGCACCGCCATCCAGCGGACATTCCAAGGACTAAACGAGAGGTGGCACACGCACACTTTCTTACGGCTTGCGCTTCGGGTCCACTTACCAACTTTAACCACCTCGAGTTCATGGTATATTCTAGTTCACTGTAAACTTTCGAAAACCAAGGAGGTTACGCCCAGCGAGTATGATGTAGCAAACTTTTTCAGTCAGATAGTGCTCAATGTACATGCCAATGGCTGCTAATGGGAAATTAGAGGCGGAGAATTCGGCTTTTACTTTCTTACGGCTTGCGCTTCGTATCTACTTCCCATTTTTAACCACCTCGAGTTCATTCATGGTATATACAAGTTCATTGTATTCATGGCACTACGGCTCAACGCTCGCTAAACCTTTCTAAAGCTAAGGAGATTACACCCAGCGAGTATAACGTAGCAACCCTTTCTTGTCAGATAGTGCTCAATGTACATGCCAATGGCTGCTAATGGTAATCGCAGCCTGCGCCTTAACTAAAAGCCGAATGCTCCTGTCTCTCTTTCCCCATTAGCAGCTATTGACATGTACATTGAGCACTATTTTTTATTGTTCAACAACGCACAGAAGAAGTTTCTCACCGGCTCCACCTTGGAGGTCAAAATGTTATACTTGTTACATACTACGGGGGACGAACGGGTGCTGCTATAAGGAGCTTCGCCTCAAAAAATTGCTGCGTGGGCTTCATCTAAAAGCAGAGTTCAGGTATCTGCGTCCAATTTGAGTCTCCTCTCTCTCACGCCAACCCATCACTGCATGCTTTGCACCTCCTGCGCAGCGCCACGACGAGCGTTAGTGTGAAGGTCACTGCCAGTGTAGGCGTTTACGCCTGCTGCTTCGCATCTACACAAGGTTCTTTCCAGCAGAAGATTGCGTAATTTTAGGGGCGAAGCTCCTTACGGCGTGGCTTGTGCGTCCCTCGTACTACGTAACCACCAGTGGCACATACCCGAAATAGTGGTCCTTACGATTTTGACCTCCAAGGTGGTTTCGGTGAGAGATTTATCTCTTCTGTGCGTTGTTTAACAATAAAAGATAGTGCTCAATGCACATGTTAATGACTGCTAAGGGGGAATGAGAGACAGGAGCAATCGGCCTTTAGGTAACGCGCACGCTGCGATCCCCATTAGCACCTATTGGCATGTACATCGAGCACGATCTGAAAATAAAAGGTTGCTACGTTATACTCGCTGGGTGTAACCTCCTTTGTTTTAGAAAGGTTTAGCGAGCGTTGGGCCGCGTAGCCATGAATACGGTGAACTAGTATATACCATGAACTCGAGGTGGTTAAAGGTGGGAAGTAAACCCGAAGCGAAAGCTGTAAAAAAGTGTGCATGTGCCACCTCCCGTTTAGTCCTTGAAATGTCCGCTGGATGGCGGTGCTTCTATATGGAGAATATATGATGAAAAGATGCAGGGTGGTGGTACTGGAAGTGCTTAATAGATGTACCAACGGACACACAGACAAATGCATGGATGGATGCATGAACGGACGCAGGCGCGGGTGCATGGACAAACGCAGGGACGGACGCACGAAGAGACGCACGCACGGAATAGTGGATGGACGCATGGACGGTTACACAGACGTACGCAGGAACGGACGGAAGCAAGAACGAATGGACGGACGAATGCTTCGCCCCACTCCCCATCATTCACTCCGTGGATATGCTGCCATTTTTTTTTTACCTGACACTTCATGTTAACTCTTGTGAAGCTTAGCACATCTTATGGTCTGTCCTACATAACTTATTTCACATTATAATTTTGTTTCATGAACCACACTAACCTTGCACTCTGCATGTGATTTCGTATGCTTCTTCCCGCATCCTTGTACAGGCGGTCGCATAATCTCGCCTTAGAAGCTGAAAACAAAGCCAACTGATTGATATGTGGGGTATAAAGTACCTAAAGCAACCTGGATGGATGGATGGATATGGCTGTACCCTTTATATCGGGCGGTGGCTTGCGCCACCAAGCCATAATACTTAATGAACCCAAAACTATATTTATTTTTTTCCCTGGAAAAGTGAGTTTGAGGATTCGTACTTTGCAGTAACGAGTTTAATTTTCACTCGTGCCTTGACTTTAGCCACCAATCAGATAACCTCCTTCTAGTTAAGTCTACTTGCTTAAAGTCTATTTTGCCCTCCCGGTCCCTAAACCCCAGTGCTTTGAAAAACTCTGCGCCATCATCCTGAACTATAGGGTGAAGCCATTTACAGAACATTATCAAGTGTTCGGCAGTTTCTTCTTCCTCTCCGCACGCACTGCATACTATGTCTACCCCTTCATATTTGGCCCGATATGTCTTGGTTCACAGTACTCCCGTCCTTGCCTCAAACAGTAGAGAACTACCCCCAGTATTATGGTAGATCCTTTCTTTGGCGATTTCCTGCTTAAAAGGTCGATAGATTTCGAGTGCGGACTTCTTAATCATACCCATTTTCCACATGTCAGTCTCCGTTTCCTTCACTTTCTTCTTAACCGACAGTTCTTTTTGGTTTGGCCACCTGCTGTTTTCTAAGTATTTATCAGTTACCTTCCTGGTTCGCTTCCTCCATTTTGTATCGACATTCTTCATGTACAAGTAGCTGAAAACCTTCCTAGCCCAACGCTCCTCCTTCATTTCTCTCAATCGCTTCTCAAATTTTATCTTGCTGCTAGCTTCCCTGCCCTCAAACGATGTCCATCCCATATCACCTTGTACTCCCAGATTTGGTGTATTCCCGTGAGCTTCTAAAGCAAGCCTACCTATTCCACGTTGCTTAATTTCTAATCTTGTTTGAACTTCTGATCTCATGCACAAGACCGCATTGCCGAACGTCAGCCCAGGAACCATGACCCCTTTCCATAGTCCTCTCACAACATCATACCTATTGTAATTCCACAGTGCCCTACTTTTCATCACTGCTGCATTCCTGTTACCTTTAGTCGTCACGTATATTTCGTGTTCCCGCAGGTACTCGGTCCCATTGCTTATCCATACGCCCAGGTATTTGTATTTATCTGTTATCTCTAGCGTGACCTCCTGTATCCTAAGCTCACTACTTTCGTTGTCATTGAAAATCACGACCGCTGATTTTTCCTTACTGAATATAAAATCTAACCTATATCCCTCATTACCGCAGATGTCCATCAATCTCTGCAAATCTTCCTTGTTATTGGCCATTAGCACTATATCATCTGCGTACGTTAATGCTGGTAGTCCTGATCAATACGTTTTCCTTGTTTGACTAAAGAGAGGTTGTGGCCCAGTCCACTTCCCTCTAATTTTGCCTCTAATCCTTGTAGGTACATCATGAATAATAAGGGTGACAGGGGGCACCCCTGCCTAAGCCCCCGTTTTACCTCTGCAGGCTTGGATACCTGTTTTTCCCACTTTATAACTACCTTTTTACCTTTATAGATACCCTTTAAAAGATTAGTGACTACATGTTCCACGCCTAGTGTGTCCAGTATTCCCCACAATTTCTCTTGAACCACGCTATCGTACGCTCCCTTGATATCCAAGAATGCTAGCCACAGGCGCCTGTGTTCCTTTTCTGCTATTTCGATGCACTGCGTCAGTGAGAACAGATTGTCTTCCAGCCTCCTGTGTTTCCGAAACCCATTCTGCAGTTCCCCCAGCACCCCCTCATCTTCTATCCATGCCTGCAGTCTTTCCTTTATAATCTGCATCGCCAGCCTGTAGACCACTGATGTCACTGTTATAAGACGGTAGTTGTTTATGTCAGCTTTGTCCCCCTTTCCTTCATAGATCATGGTCATCCTGCTAAGTTTCCATCCATCGGGAACTTCACCATCGATTATTAATTTGCTCACTACCTCTCTCAAAGCCTGCTTAGACTTCGGACCTAATGTCTTTATCAGCCTAATTGGAACGCCATCTGGGCCTGTTGATGTATTAATAGGAACCCTTTTCTCAGCCCTTTCCCACTCTCGTTGTGAAAATGGAGCCATTGCACCACTTGATTCGTCCTTGTCTATTGTGGTGCATAAAGTACTTCGTTGTTGAAAATTCTCTACCTAACGATTATGAGAGACGCCATAGTGGAGGACTCAGAAAATTCAGGCTTCCTGGGGTTCTTTAACGTGCACCCAAAGGTGAGCACACGTGCCTTAAGCAATTTCGCCTCCCTGAGAAGTGCAGCGGCCGCAGCCGGGATTCGATCCCCTGACCTGCAGGTTAGCAGCCGAGTACCTTAGTTATTAGACCACTGTGGTGGGTGAACACCAACTCTATGTCGCTTTTGAAGTGTCTTGAGTGGTGCGACGTGTTGTTCACTTAAAGCACAACTAAACATTTCATATCGACCTTGTTAACTGATTGTTATTGTGGCTTTCAGCCTCACGAAATTTTCACAGCGCTCATCATATAGCGTAGCGCCTGGTGATCAGCATGAATGGACACACCCAATATGGTATCTCGATGAGATCCAAGACACCGCCACTGTATTTCGTAATTGGCGAAACAGAAAGTTGTTTTGTATTTTATATCGATTTGCCGCTCTGCATTCACCTGTTGTCTGCCCTAAACCCATCGGTGGTGCGCCACTCGCAAACAAACTAGCCGATAAGGCCCTATTGTTCTGGCTGCTGGCAGCCTAGCTCTGGTCGCCAGTGTCAATGACCATCTCAAAAACAAAGTTTATTCAACTTAACTCCGCTTTTTACACAACGCAAAAGCAACTGTGAATGATGCAGCCTCGCATACGTTGCAGGTTTGCCTTCAAAAGGCTTCCACGATGAGCTGCACAAACTTAGCTTCGTTTCTGTCGAGGTGCATCTGGCCATGGCAAGAGCAGAGTGCTTCTCCCTTTTTGAACAATGACTCGGCCACGCGACTCAATTCTTCGGTAAAGTGTTGGCGAAACTGCTTGTACGTCTTGCCTTCTTCGCCGGCATACAAGCTGAGGTCTTTGACAACGAGCTTGCGAAGTATGTTAGCAGCATTAGTGGTGGCCTTGGCGTCGCCGAAGGTGAGCGCTTCAGCTGTGTTTTTAATACCGTCAATGGCCCCCTGTACTATGCTTACTGCACCCTTTCCAAGTTCTCCAATGGCTTTGAAGATCTTGCCAAAGAAGTACTGCTGACTCTGAAATAGTAATAACACCTTCATTACCAAGACGTACGAGATCACAAGCAAAAAAGAATACTAATTTCAATCTGAACACGATCCCGCTTCCTGCGCAGAATCACTGCACCTTCAGTTTTGAGGGAAATACTTTTTTATCTGATGCAAGTTATGCAGGTTCTAGGGGAAAAGAAATTTAGGGTAAATTTCCATTTCATGAGCTATAAAATAAAATGGCAGAGAATATGTAATGTTTAATTTTGATAGGCATTGTTGTGTTGAACTATTGGTAAAATGTTACCCCACCCCACAGCATCACGCACTTTCTTACTTCATTCCAGTGTGTAATGTGAAGCATTAATCAAGGTGCGAATGCCTAGTAATATTTCATCCGGTCGAAAACCTACAAGGGAGACTATTCCAGCCACTAACCTGACTATCGTCTTGTTCCTGCCGCTCCTGTGTCGTGCGAAGACCAAGCGCTATTGCGCGCAGCAATTCACCCACTTTAATAGCTTCAGCACCGATGCGGTGAGCTTCCTTGTCGATGACGACATCAATTGATTCATATTTCTCAGTCACCTTGTTGGTTGTCGCTGGGGAAGAAAAAAATATGTAGATCGTCTTAATTTAGGATGCCGTTAGTCGTTATTGGTACCGGTGCAATTACGGGCTCGGGAAAGATTGAAACAAACACGGAGAAGAAATTGTTTGAATGTCTGCAAATATTTTTCCAAACACAGTTATCATAATACTGTTCTAAACAGAAGAGGCTGTTTGCTGCGTGTAGCCATAGGAGCCATGTGGTTTCATAATATTAAAAGTTCACTTGTTGTACTATAGTGTTGCCTGCAACATAACGTACGTGATACTTATACTAGTAGAGCTAACCAAATCATGCAGTGGGCTTTATTCGAGAAAAATATAGAGCACGTACTAGAAAAATGGTACCTGTGACCAAAAATATTTCAAATGAATTATTTTCTTAAGTAGGGGCTTGATATGCATGGGGCCGTTCGTCCAAACACTCTTTTAAGATTATGTGTAAACACCAAAACCAGCGTAACTGCACTCTACTGGTTGAAAGCTTAACCTTGTATTCTGCTGCGAAGAAGTGCAGACGAAAGCAAAGTTACATAGATATGGGCTTAGCGCTGATTGTTATATTGCAAACATTTTTCATCTGTGTTATGTGAGGTAGTCTTATGAACATCGTAGGTCACAGATCGCATGGTGGTGTGGCGTTCTCGCATGACAATGAAGAAAGAATCAACAAAAAACGCAGCCACTGAAGTTGAAATGAAAAGAGTATTCAATGACGTTTATTCATAAACGTGAAATCTCTAAATAAAGCTACCTATCAGGATGTTCTTAAGTTTATGAGCTGTATTTTTAGTGTATTGGCCAACCAAAAAACCCGCGTACTTACCAGTCATAGCACAGATGACTACGAGAAAAAGGACGGCACCAGTTGACTTCATGATGCCTGTGAACAAAGGAATGCAAAAACAATGCGTATGCCGTCATATCGCATTAATTCTTGCTCACGAGCACAACTGCAACTGAGGCGACATACTATGCAATTTTAAGCAAGTTCGGAAGCCTGCAACGTCCAACCAAGCTAAAGCATTTTGATTAACACGTCTGTTATGGCACTCGAAAAACATGGCAACCAAGGCAGTAATACAGATTTTGACCAAATGCCTACCTTTGCGGAAAAGAAAAGTGCACCGGGAAAGGGGTTATGTATAATCTTCGCACAAAACCGACGGAAATAAAGCAAACTTCGCGAGACTTTTGAGAATGTGAAGTTGTGCTACCGTTGGGTATGTCGGGTGATTGAATCGCTTCACGTTTTTTTCGACTCTCTCAGCTGTGCGTTTGCTGCTACAGGCACCCACCTCGTGAATATTTACTATTACATGCTGTCACCAAAAACCTTACAAAACTTTCACTACCAGTTTAACAGTGCTGACTCAATTCTGACACCAAAAATTGCTAGTTGAGTAGGAATACATCTCGAAACGTTACCTTTTGGGGCTAAATATGACGTTGCTGCTGGAAAAAGGTGTGCAGGAATCTCCTGAGGAACACTCGATCCTAAGTGCCTTTTATACTTTCGCTATAACATTTACATCGAACAAACGAAAACAGGGAACAATACCAGTGCTCCGCAAATCAGCACAATTTTGTGTCCGGCTTTGTTAGTCACAAACATGATAAAATATATATCTTTTTGTTCTAAAATGTTAACCCTTTTGTTCTAAAATTCATCATTCAACGCATGTATGGGATGGTGTTTGTTACGAGAGTACAGATATGCCCAGCAGACAATTGTTTCTGCATTCCAAAAAATTCCCATTCGTGATAGCAAAAAGAGCAGATACCCCCTATTTTAATGAACAGAAAAGGGGGTGGCTTCCGGAACTGCTAATCACTATCGGAGAAAAATGCTTATAAACGCATTCAGCAGTACGTTTCGCTTATTCGTAGTCATGGGACTTACATACAACAATGCTAGATGCGGTGTTTCTCAACACGTCTTTCTCACGATACTCATTACAACTGCTCTAGGATGCGCCCACCGCAGGTAAATCCAACGCTGTTCACAGGTCAGTGATCTAACCAAATTCTACCCACATGATTTTGTTTTGTGAGATACCGAGGTCTAATAGGCAATGAACAGTGAACTTGTGTTTTAGGCATGCACAAGTTAGCCTCATTTGGCCACTAGTGTGTTTTACCGTACATTTACAGCACTGAAATATCAAGGTGGTGTTTATTGTGGCTCAAGTTTCGTTAACTATGAAGTTGTGATGTAAATGTCTCTCTGTTTCTCTCTTAACAACACAATATCTTTTCTTGCCTTATTTTTCTAGGTTTCTTAGTGTTGGGAATTCCATGCACACAGAGAACGCACCCATCGTTCAACAAGTATACGTGCGTATGTCGCATAATATGGAAACAGTGTAATCTAGAAACAACATATAAATCATTCATATAGCATCGTTCAGTTTCATATCATTCACATGCCCTCGTTACCCATGAATATCAAGTAATCTTCATTCTTGTTGTTCCAAAGAACTAAAGATCATTTCATTACACTCTATCGCAAACATGGAATTCATTAAGTATGTTGTTTCCCTACAGAACATTTACTAATGAACTGTTGCATATTTTTAGGTGACTTAGATTGCCTATGTATCAATTTTGCCTAAGTGTTATGCCTCTCCACTTTGTTGGTTGCACGCGCCAGTCATTTTTGTTAGAATTTATTGGCAGATTGCCATATGTCACAAGCGTGAACTCCTTGCAGCAAAGAAATTAGAATGGCCATGCCCACTGTGCAGGGTTTTCATTGTGTTGCTGTGCTACAGTGTACTTGCAATATTCAAAACCTGACTCTTACCATAGCATTATTCAGAGCAGTCAATCCTAAGCACTGAGGCCATGCTTTGGGTTACCCCATGGCGCGTTAACACCTGAAACCATTGTCGTCGCTCAGGAGTTTTCATTAACGACATGCACTATCTCGTAGACAATGCGCACGTACCTCCGGCATCATGCCGGGGCCCAATATAATAACATCGTGAGCTTCCTTGCTGAAACGCCTCGCAAAAAATGTAGTGCCGCTGTCTGTTGACATTGCCCATCATTTACAGCGGTGTACGCGCTTGCACAAAATCCAATGTTTTCTCCATGGTTTTATGAGTCGCACTAGGTCATCTAATCATTTCAGGAGTGCCGGAGAAGTCAGACCTACAAACATATGCACAAAAGCGATTGAGCCTACTCCTGTTCAATAAATACAGTTACCACATGCACCCTGATAAGAATGGCTCGACTACATTGTCCCTCTTTAGTGTCGCGGTGCCTATACCATCACAAGGGGTAAAATTGTGTCTAAAAATTTTCCAAGCCAGAAAGTGTACGTCGCAAGCTCGTGGCCGTGAGTAGTGCACTTCCCTTATTGATTCCGAAAAACAGAGAAAATAGGCTTTGTCTGCGGAATCCAAACTGGTGTTACACTGTCTGGCGTCATTTCTCTGATGCATACACCATCAGCAGTAGGTGTGTGAAACCGTAAAAACTCCACAGTCACAGAACGGAGACCAGGACATTTACTTTTTCTGTTAACTCGCCATAGCCATATTGATGAAAATCATTCCGCTGATATTGCAGCTCGCGCATCACATCGGGAAGCAAGATCGTTCCGATTCCACTAAAAATATGGATGCTACGAGGCAAATTCGCCAACTGGCCCGCCTCCTTATACTGTCGGAGAGGAACATGTGTAACATAGACAATACCAGATTGCATAAACTTAGCCCTTCACTGCAACCCCGACTTCCGTCGAACGTTCATCAACGTTAAGTTTCGCTTTTTCGGTGCCTCTAGCTGGGTGTTGGTTTCATGAAGGCATATACAATGATCACCATATATGGCTTACTGTCTGCCATGCCATATCTGGTCCACGATGAAAGCGTCGATAATTTCATGAACTGCTAACAGGCTGTAGACGTAGCAATATAGCCTGCTGCTGCAGTTCGCGATTCGAAGACAATAATAATAAATTTCAAAAAAACGCTGGGCACATACCCTCTTCGCTAGCCATATTCTAAGACGGACTGTCACTGATTCAACGCCGAAACGTATAATTTCGTCTCCTCGCCATGAAGGTTTACGAGGTAATAGGCCGCTGAGGGGGCTTACCCATATATTTCCTCCCCCAGGCCTTACAACTCGGAAGCCATCACATCACTGCTCCGGTCAAAAAATAGTTCTTATTTTCGCGCCACCCACCACGTTTTAGGGGTGAAGCTCCTTATGGCGTGGCTTGTGCGTCTCTCGTAGCACGTAACCACCAGTGGCACATACCCGAAATAGCGGTCCTTACGATTTTGACCTCCGAGGTGGTTCCGGTGAGAGATTTCTTCTGTGCGTTGTTGAACAATAAAAGATAGTGCTCAATGCGCAAGTTAATGGCTGCTAAGGGGGAATGAGAGACAGGAGCATTCGGCATTTAGGTAACGCGCATGCTGCGAGTCCTATTAGCAGCTATTGGCATGTACATTGAGCACGATCTGACAAGAAAGCATTGCTAGGTTATACTCGCTGGGTGCAACCTCCTTGGTTTTAGAAAGGTTTAGCGAGCGTTGGGCCGCATAGCCATGAATACAGTGAAGTAGTATATACCATGAACTCGAGGTGGTTAAAGGTGGGAAGTAAACCCGAAGCGCAAGCCGTAAAAAAGTGTGCATGTGCCACCTCCCGTTTAGACCTTGAAATGTCCGCTGGATGGCGGTGCTTCTATATGGAGAATATATGATGAAAAGATGCGAGATGGTGGTACTTGGAGTGCTGAATAGATGGACGAACGGACACACAAGCAGATGCATGGATGGACGCATGAACGGACGCAGGGGCGGCTACATGGACTGGTGGACGGGACGCACGGACGGGTGGATGGACGCATGGACGGTTACACAGACGTACGCAGGAACGGACGGAAGCAAGAACGAATGGACGGACGAATGCTTCGCCCCACTCCCCTTCATTCACTCCGTGGATATGCTGCCATTTTTTTTCCGGCTCCTGGAAAAGAGCTGAGTAAAGCAGATGAGCCAACTTTAAGGTACCTGCAGAGAAGTGCTCTACTTTTTTCCCGGAATTATCAAGCTCTTCCATTCGAACAAGATGGGTGGCACCCACAGTGTTGGAGACATGTGGCATCTTCCACAAGGTCTGGCCATCTGTGGAATTTCCCAACCTGCCCCCTTTTCTAACCCTTCCCGGGAGGCAACAGGGACTGTTCTCCTCAACTGCTCCTTCCTGTAACCTGAACGGACTGTGGTGAGACAGGTACGATGTGGGGCTTCGTCATGCGGTGTCCTGGAAGAAGGGCGCTGACCAAGTAGCAAAGTCATGCTTCCGTCTTCTAGTTCTTTTTTTCTTTCTACACTTATTGTTAACAGCTCTAAGCGTTTTATTTCCGGTGAAATAATCCCGGAATCAAAGTCACGTGTATACTTCAGCTTTCGGACCTAATGAAACACACTGTCCAACTACACCGGCTTCAGGGTTGCAACACATTCTATATTGCCCTGCGATACGTTTGAAATCAGCCCATGTGGCCCCCTCTGTAAAGCGGTACGCAAAATACGTTGAACCATTTGACTTGAGAGCTTCACTATATGTGTAACGAATGAATATTTGGCGCAATAAAATTAATGCAAATGAATGAACAGCACCGTCTAGGTTGATTTTTTGGTGCTATAATAACAATTAGGAATTCGCAGGTCTGCAGTAAAATCTGCTTTTGCCAGGGCAGCGTCGACCTGAAAACAAGAAAATGTCTTCGTCCCACTCTAGACGTAAAGGAAAGTTGAATGCAACCACTGATGAATAAACATAATTGTCTTTTAATAACAACTAACAATACTTGTAATAGTATTGAGAGTAGAAAGGAAAAACTGGCAGATGTCATCTACAGTGGGAATTGATGATGCGCGAGGGAGGTGGCATTATCACATTACGGTAACCACAACGTTAGGAGGCAGACGTTAATTTGGCCTTACCAGACTTCTGTGTCATGATTATCATGTTTGCACTTGGCATTTGTGTTCGTCGCCTATTCACAGCACGTAATCCTAATTTGGTATATGTGAAGATGGCGAAACCATCAGGAGCACGCTATGAGCGTAGCATGCAGTCTTGTTTTACATGACACATGTATCATGATTATTATGTTTAGACGTCTCATTTACCCTTCTTTGTCTATTCAGGTCACGTGGTAACAAATTTGGTATATGTGGAGCAAGTGAAACGGCTGTGAACGTGCAGTGAGCGTAGCATATAGTCATGTTTTACATAACATGCATATCATGATTATCATGTTTGGACGTGTCGTTTCCCTTCGTCGTCCATTCATGTCACGCGATGCCAAATTGGGTATACAGGAAGCTAGCAGAACGAACGCAAACACACCATGAGTGTGGCGTGACTTACATGACATGCATGTCATGATTTTCTGGTTTGGGCCAGTCACTTATGTTTGCCAGGTAGTGATGCCATACGATACTAATTTTGCAATATTTCATGTTAGCGGAACCATTGCAAGACCAACAGACCATGTAGTGTAAACCATGACACTCATGCGATACATGTTAGAATTTTGTCATGTTATGACTAATTCCTCATACAGTCATATTATGCTATACAAATGTTTGTATACATTCCATTATAGAAATGGCCAAAGGAGCTAAAAGTCGCAGGTGGCCAGTTAGATAGATAGATAGATAGATAGATAGATAGATTGATAGGTAGATAGGTAGATAGATAGATAGATAGATAGATAGATAGATAGATAGATAGATAGATAGATACGATGAAATTCATCGAAGTTTGCTAAGAAATGCTTCGCATTTAAAAGAAACATTTGCTTGGTCTACGCGCATCGAACCGAAATCACAACACACTACGCATCATGCATATTACGCACTGCACCAAGAAACCCACACGATAGGGTTGTCTTAGTGGCTGCCTCAGACAGCAAGATGATTTTCTTTCTAAAAAGCAAAATTACGACTATTTCAGAACGGTAAGGCCAAAAACAGGGAACTTAAACTGACGACCACATTACACACACAATACGAACTGCACGCCCGCGCAATGCGACACCAAATCCTCCAAACGGGAGCGTCTGAAACGACTTCAAAGTTTCAGTGATAGACCCATCCTTATTAGAGTTTTAGTAAATTTTCAGACGCTTACGTTATTGTCATCGTGCATCTCAGCGCTTACGCGTAAATAGAACGCGCTACCTGCCAACTGACGGTACTTTAGTACAGCGAAAGGCATTCCTGCTAACGTAAACAAAAACACTTATGACACCATCTAGTTATAAAAACGGCGTATGTCCTGCAGAAAACTCAATTGGG